AACCATTGACGTTTTGCATCTTGTATCATTTTATAACGTTTATTATTCAAGGGTATATAAGCAATAAGTGCAACTATCTTTTCTTCTTGATCAAGATCGGATGGTAAAAATTTATAAAGAATTCGCATTTCTAACTGAAGAAGTTCTTCCAAAAGTTGTGTTTGCTTCTGTCGTATACTAATTAACTGATCAATGAATTGATTCTAAGAAAAAGAAATTTAATTCTTTGTTAAAATCAAAATTCATTCTTACTGGATTTAAACTAGGATAGGAAGTCATAATCGTTTCATATAATTTATTTGCTAGAATCTCATCTTGAAGTTTGGCCAATTGGTTAGAGTTTTTTGTTACTAAATATTGTCGTTGATGATTGACATATTCTTTTAGACAAGTATCAACTTGATTGACTGATATAGGTATCATTGAATACGAACTAAGTTGAGTTGCAAGTTCTTTTTCATATTGATTAATTTGTTCGTTTAACTGTTCTATATAATTGGTAAGATATTGAAAACATAGTTCATAATCATTTGTTTTTGATAACAGTTGAACTTCTTCCTATGATGATAATAATAAATAACCTAATAAAAGCAATATGTAATATACAAAAACAAAATTACCGGCCAATGATGCTCTGTACGACCAATCTCTAAAAATAATTTACATAGTTGTAAATGAACTTTCAAACAATATTTTTGATCTAATATAGTTCATTGTGTGTAAATATATTGTTTATGTTTATCATTTAATGAATAATTTAATCTTTTACTTAATGTTTGAAAAAGTATCCAAGATGATCGTTGTAAGTACATTGGTCGTCTATAATGATAATGAGTAAGAAATTGTAGAGAAAGATTTCATGAAAATTACAAACGAACCGATAGACATAATGTAGAATATTATCATTACTATTATTTTCTTGTATCAGTGGCATTGTTGTTGTTGTCTGTTGTTTTGTCTTTTTCGATCATGATTGAAGTATTAATATTGAACTTGTTGATTTTGGAACTACTGACTTTGCTTTTAATTCTTGAAGTGATATATTTCGTTTACGTTTATTCAAATGTGTTGTTGCTGTTGTTGTCGACTGTTTCGATTGATTACGTTCAAGTAATTTTTTTATTTCTGCTGGTTCCATTCCACGTTTACGACATTTTCGTCGAAAACGTTGATCTCTTCGATTACCATGACATTTTATCTTCGATTGTTGGTTATTATCGTTGTTGGCATTCATTGTGCAATAATAGTTACAGATCGATAGATTTATCTGAAAAGAGACAACAAGAAAAGCATGATATATGAAATAAATGATAGTTTAAATGAAATATAAAATTTAATCAAAAAGGAGAGTCGATTGAACTTTAAATTTATATATACATTTGATACGTTCACTGATTTTTTCACAACGTTGATTAATAATTTGAACTAAGATTGAAGATAAGTTTTGATTTCCATCTATGAAAATATCATCTGTATATACTTTTTTTACATTCTCTTCAAACTTCTTTTTAAATTCTTCTTTTTAATCTTCAGCTGTTGTGAGATATAATGGAAATAAATTATTTCTAACATTTAAAGCTACTTCTTTGTATTGATTTAATAGTTGCTGTCGAATCTCTGCATTTTCAATTGTTCCAATGCCTGTTGCTTAAGCTATAGGCAAATGTTGAAACGATTGACTAGGTGAATTATAATAATCAATTTGTTGCTTCAAGAAATTATATTCTTGTTCTGTTGTTTCTTGTTCATATTTATTTTGACAAATATTTTTCATTATTTCAATCTATAAAAGAAAATGAAATCAAAAAAAATATGTATTTGCAACAAAAAGAAATACTTGATATTGATTGGGATTATGTTGAATATATTGTACTTTCAATATGCGAATATGACAATCATAATGTATCAATTCAATTTGATGTTCAAGTTTTAAACGAAAAGATTGAATATGTTTTTCAATATATGTTTCTATTATTTTTTGAACCATTATTGAATAACCACCTATATTATTTGCTTTTGTATTCAATTCAGTTTTACATATATTTAATTGATGATCTAATGCATGTAAATGTTGATTGACAAACTTCAAATAAATTTCATGAGAATTTATTGCTTTGTTAACTTTCAATAAACTTGTAATCTCTTTTGGCCATATTGGTATTGTTTCAGATGATATTATTAACTCTCCTCGACCTGATTTCAAATATGCCGTCCAAAGTAGATGATAAGTTTGTAGAATCATGATTTTATAGATAATAATTGCTGCTTCCCGTAATTGTTTAATATCGATAGTTGTTGTTGGACTTGTTGATTTTATTAATAATTGTGCCTGATGCAACATTTGTTTAAATGAATCATTATGTTTTGTTAAAAAATTTGGAATTTTCTCGATTTCATCTTTCATATCTTTCATGAGATGTCCTTCAGTATGTGTGGTATTTGTTAATAAACGACCCAATTGTTGTGATAAAACCAACTCCTTAAGTAAAGTAATGAAATAAATATACCAAAACGTTCTTAGTAATATATCTATGTATATTTACGTTTAGTTCTTGTATTTCTTGATTATTCTCAGTATCATCATCTTCTTCTTCTTCTTCATAATCAGTTTCGAGAATCTTATAATTCCATGGAAGATCAGTATCCATTTTATCGGACTGTTGCAGATCATTTGTTCGTTGACTAGTACCTGGCACATAATGCTGTCGTCCCAATGAAAATAAGGTATCTGTAATAGTAAAAAAATATACAGAATACTGATTAAATAAAAAGCACAAACCATGTCGAGTCGTGTATGCTGGTAATGAATGTGATTGAGCAGTTGTAGTAATTGCAGATCTTGGATATGCATCATGCTCTTCAAATTGATCATACATCTCTGACCTTGTGTTCGCTGTTGATCTTGTAGAGCGAGTTTGATCTTGACTATACCATTTCTTCATGACTATAGTTGAAAGTTGATAATTAATACACAATTAAATTGATTCACAAATATAAATCTACAAGCAGAAATACAAGATAATGAATAAAAATAGAAGAAATAGAAAACTGATTAAAATAATAAAAGAAAAATCGAAGTTCATTCAAAGAATTGTAGGATCATTGAGCAAATTGCTACATAGGAGGCCGACGAACAAGATCTTGACACCAGTTACCACGACGATCATCAACTATGCGCGCATTTATATCATTAGAATTGTTATTTTCAACAATCATACCATCTAAATGACCCAATGTATTTAATTTGGTTTGTGCATGTGTAATAAATAATGCTTCGATTAATCGATAAAATAATTCTGTATATCCCTCTGGCATCACGGCAATAATTGTAGCATTGTAAAGATCAAGATGCAAATTAGGTTTAAGACATTCATGTTTATCTTTTAATAATTGTATTTGTTTTGAACGTTGATGTACCGAAAATGTATGATTTTCTGAAGGTAATGGAGGTAAATCAGTCATGTATGTACTAGCTTCTTGATCATCGAAAGCTGTATAAACACTTGACAAATCAGATCTAAGATTTTGTGTTTCTGCTTCCATTGTTGACATTGGTACAAAACACCAATATTGCGGATTACAATCCAGAAACATTTGAATAGCATATGAACACCGAGCTGAATGTTTATAAAGTAACATATTATCAGCTGTTAATTCTCTAGAATTTATACATGTATAGTAATATGAATAGATATATAAAGATTGAAAAAATTCAATTACTCTTGTGATTTAGTGTGTTGTCGCATACGACTACTATTGACTGAACCAAGAATAAATTCATGTATGATTCGATTACCATGCTCACGATGATCTATATATATAGGATATAATTATCATTTATTAAAAAGAAAATATACTAACATTTGAGTTGTTCATCCAATGTTAATGATGTATATCCAATATAATCAAATTGACCACAAGGACATGTCAATGCATAGATGATATTCTTTGCAGTACAAGTCTAAATAAATGAAAGAGATAAAAACATTATACATGTGATAGTATATACCACTGGACAATTGAGAATAGCTTCATATCCATTGACAAAACGATGTTTCTGTGCTGATGAAAATTGAACAACTGGTTGACTTTGTCGACCACGAATAAGAACATCCTGTATGGGAAAACAAAATCGACATGTAACTTGTTCACATGGTTTTAGACCATAGAGAGATTTTGGTTCATGGATAGAGAAGATACCATGATGGCTGTATAATGATGGCTTAGCATTACGAAAAGAACATGTTTTCATAAAAAACAATTCATCTAGAATACATACATAATCATATGATCATATGAACAAAAAATTGTATACCATCAATTTATAGATAAAATTCTATAGCTAGTGCATGTTCAACAAATCGTAATTCTTCCATACCAGTAGTATCCATTGGAAGTAAACCATATCGAATTCGTTCTTGTACCATGATATTCATACAAGTATGAAGACGTTGATAATTATAATCAAGAATAGCATCATCAATTTGAAAGCGTTTAGTTAAATCTCCATATAATTCATCATATATTTTCATAAACGGTGATCGAACACTAATATGAACACTTTGATCAGTTAAAGTAAATGGTTGATGAAATGAATAATAAGTACGACGTTGTCGTTGCTCTTTTGTTAAATTTGAACAAGAAATATTAGCCAAAAGTAAATGATCTCGATTGATAGGTCCAAATCGATCAAATGTTGGATAAGCTGGTAACAGAGATAGACGATGCATAATAGGATTTGAACAATTCAATGGTTGTATTTCCTGTTTAATTGATTGTTGTTGAAGATTATTGTT